CTCACACCGTTCCTCATTCGCTCTGTCATCCATCCCCCTCTATTTCCCCGGGTTCTAACACTATACCCATTTCCCTGCCCCTTCTTCATACTCCATACCTCCCCGTGTATCCTTCTACCCTCCTCCCAACACCAACACTACACCTTCCCCATTTCGCTTGAACCCTCCTCCTCCCACTTTCCCTCTCTTTCTCTGTCTCTCTGTCTCTCTGTCTCTCTCTCTCTCTCTCTCTCTCTCTCTCTCTCTCTCTCTCTCTCTCTCTCTCTCTCTCTCTCTCTCTTCTCTCTCTTTCTCTCTCTTTCTCTCTCTTTCTCTATTCCTAACATCATAGCCATGTACTTTCCCCCTGTTTTGTCTTTTTTTCTCCAACATCCCTCTCCCTCTATACCCTATCCCCCATTCTCGTCTCCAGCACCACCTATCCCCCACTCATCCCCCAGTCCCCACCGACCTCCCCCCCCCCCATCCCTGGTCTCAATCCTCATTCCACAAATACCCCATCCTTTCACCCCCATTCCTGTCCCCATTCCCCCACTAGAACCTTCTTCCATCCTCCACCCTTGTCTTCAGTCCCCAACTCACCCACTACTTACCCACAGCCCCACCTCCCCTCTTCCTTGCTCCACCCCTTATCCTTATATCCTTATCCTCAATCCCCAGCCTTACATCCTACTCCACCTCCCCTCCTCCTTGCTCCACCCTATCCTTACTCCACCCTCGCATCTCATCTACCCCATCATCCACATTCTACCGAGCCAATCCTACCCACCTATCCTTGTCCTTACTGGCCCCTCCCCTCCCCCCCCAACTTTCCCATCTTTACACCCCCCCCCCCTTATCTCCTCCCAAACCCCTTCATACTCCACCCTTATCCACCGACCCCCACCCCCCTTGCCTTACCCCCCCCCTCCCCCCCGCCGCCCCGCACATACCTCGCGCGCCCGACACCTCGTATAACATTCAGACTACACATTCGACGGGAAGGGAAACGGACGACGCTAAAGACAAGAGAATCATCTTTCCTCGTTTTCATTCACGTAGATTGACTCTTTTCTTTAACTCACAAACATGAAAATAAAAAAAAAATGGGACAAAACTATATATATTTTTTTTTTCGGAAAGCAGTTATTACTAATGGCATCCTTAAAAAGTTATTTAGGGATTTTAATGGATTTGGAGATTACGAACTCTGTTACGAAAGGCATAGTATTGTCGCTGAAGTATTTATTTTAGTTTTTTGGGACTTACGGCGTTAGAGTCTTCGAAAAGCTCAATGGAAGATAGAGAGAACTTTTTGAATTGGAAGGCAATAAAGTTGATAATGATAATGGTGATTATAATTATGATGGGGGTGATATAATGATAATGATCATAGCAGTGATAAGTATGTAAGAAATAACATCAATATTAATGATAATAACAGTATGTTATCATTGATATTATCATCACCATTACCATTATTATGATAATAATAAATAATAATGACAGTAATAATTATGATAATGATATTAGCATTTATGCTGAGATTTCTAGATAATTATAATATTACTATATTATCAAAATTAGTCAATGTAAATGCAACGGTCAGTTCACATGCAATGCCCTTTGCAATGGAAAAAATACGTCGTAATGTAACAGGATGTATAATGATAAAAACTCGTATATTAGAGGACATTTTGCTAAAACGAAGTAGCAGGATTTGTTCGTGACGCGTCTATATGTCCACCTGTAAATTATGCATATATGTGTCAGTTCATCTGTATGCTTTTTTATCATCATTATCATTATGATTGTTATTATTATTGTTGTTTTTGTTAATATTATTACAATTTTTATTATCATTATCACCATGACCTTCACCATCACCATCTCCATCACCATCATGATCATTATGATTATGATTATCATCATCATCATCATCATCATCATCATCATCATCATCGTCATCATCATCATCATCATCATCATCATCATCATCATCATCGTCATCATCATCATCATCATCATCATCATCATCATCATCATCATCATCACCATCATCTTCATCACCATCATCATCATCTTCATCACCATCATCATCATTATCACCATCATCATAGCTATAATCATCATGACCATTATCATTATTACACGCATTGGTTTTATAAAGAGTAAATCCGATTGACCTTTAACCCCGAATGAAACAAGAAATAAAAAGATAAAAAATAAAAAAAATGAAATTAAACACACCAGTCCTATATTTCCATCATCATCACCCACCGTTCCGAAAAGGATCGTGACGATGTATCCGAAACGTGTCACTGGCGTTGAAATTTCGCCGTATGTCTCGAGGAATGCGTGGGGAGCGGGCGGGGGGAGGGGGGAGGAGGAGGAGGAGGGGGGAGGGGGATTTAGCACGGGGGCTTGTGGCGCTGGGATAGGCAATGGGGATTTGTTCTCGGTTCTCAGTGGTATCTGTAATGGGCATATTGGCTGAGTCATGGGGGACCCCTTATTCGCAGAGGGGAAAATTGGTTTCGTTGAGGTAACTTAATACGCTATTTCCACCACTGAATTAAGATTAAAAGACATAGCATATGATCATTTTACCTTTTAGATTATTAATGCGAACAAGTAAGATATATATATGTGTGTGTATGTGTATTTATATATATATATATATATATATATATATATATATATATATATATATATATATATGTATATATATATATATATACATACATGTATGATATATATATAAGGATGTTGCGCATTATTATAATGATATTGTGAAAAGTATAGATATATATATATATAGATAGATGAAAATAACCGTACTAGGACTGGTTATTAATGCTAGATGATTTAGGGCGTAGCAATGAACTGCATAAAAAGAATTTCTTGTACAAAACACATTCTTAGTTGATTGTGTTCCTCCTTTGTCACACATTTCACATGAATGTTTTTGTTTGTATCTGTATGCTTCTTGAATGCCTGTGGATGCTTCTATACCCTCCGTTCGCGTTTTCCTTTAGCAATTTGTCGATAGATATTAGTCTGTCGGTTAAGATACCTGAGTAAATGAATTGGCATAGTGCTTGTGCTGCCCGTATGGCAACATATATGGCGACTGGGGGGTGGGGGTTCTCACGGGGAAAAGAGCACTAAGTGACTTAGATTATCCATTACAAAAACAGCAACATGAACATCAGCAATGGAAACTTTATTAAACGTAAATATTACGTCCCAACTATGTAAATTTACATAATAATTTATTCCATTGCGACATGCGAGCAAGTAAGATATTAATAAGAAAGTTGCGTATCATTATAATGATGTTAAAAGTATAACTACATACAGATATAAATAACCATCTCTGAACTATACATACATTCCAAACACACCTTTAAAGTGTGGAGTTTATAAGATTTTATTATGACGGTAAAGTCTGGTATTTAGTAAAGTATCTGTCGTTTAGTAAGGTATCTGTCATTAGCATAAAGGTAACAAATTCCCTTGGCTGTCTAATGTTTATGTACATTCTTACGACCAATACAACGTTTTGTCTGAATTTGGTAGTTTCATGAGGAATAGTTGTGTTGTGCAGTAAGAGATGTACAAAATCAAATACACTTTGGTTTTAGTATGTTGGTGATGCTAAATTGACTTTTACTGATGGAATAGATGTGAAATATATATATATATAGCAATGGAAGAGAAATATATATTTGAAATATAATAGTAAAGAAACATAATCCAAGAGCCTAAAATTAAGTATTTATATTTATACATACGACGATGGGAGTGTGGTGGCACCGTAGACAAGCATGCGAAGAAGGTATAGGGCAGAGATATGGTAGCGGTCGCTTGTTCACAAGTAGCAGGGCACTCCCTACCCCTCCCTTTCCGCCGCCCCCCTCCCTTCCCCATCCCTACCTCCTTACCCTATCCCCATCCTACCTCTCCCTACCCCACCTCTCTTTTCCCATCCCCCCTCCCTACCTATCCCCCCCCTCCACCCTCTCGCCTCCCTCTGACACGCTTATTTTAAGGCTGGTGCTGGTGGCTCCCCCGGCCCCCCCCAGCGCACTTTGGTGTATACACTGACGCCCCGTCTCGTCTGTTCGCCCTTCTTATTACTGGATGTTGTTGGGCGTATTTTAAAGCGTGGGCGTGGGTTAGAGAAGTAGGGTGGGCGGGGAGGAGGAAAGGAGAGGAGGAGGAAAGGAGTGTGTGTGTGTGTGTGTGTGTGTGTGTGTGTGTGTGTGTGTGTGTGTGTGTGTGTGTGTGTGTGTGTGTGTGTGTGTGTGTGTGTGTGTGTGTGTGTGTGTGTGTGTGGGTGTGGGTATGTGTATCGGTGAAGGTTTGTATATACACATACATGTACAGGAGAATAAAGGTGTATACGTAGTTTGGAGAAATGCTATTTACGTACAGCGCTGACTTCCATTTTTTTAGGGGGGGAGGGCATTTATTTATTTTTTGAGTGTGTATTCTTGGCATAGTGGTAATTGTAAATATAATGGAGTTTTGAATTATGCTAGATGTTTTAGGGCGTCGTAATAAACAGCACAAATGTAAAAGAATTTCGTGCAAAAATCACATTCTTAGTTGATTGTGTTCCTCATTTGTTACACATTTCACATGAATGTTTTCGTTTTATATTTGTTAGTGTGAATGCTTCTAAACCATCCGTTCGCATTTTCCTTTGGCAATTCGTCGATAGATATTAGTCTGTCGGTTAATATACCTAACTAAATGAATTGGCATAGTGCTTGGGCTGCTCGTATGGCGACGGGGGGGGGGGGGGGGGGGGGGGGGGGGTTCTGGAAACGGAAAAATCAGTACGTGATTGCATGCTCGCGAGGCGAAAGCGACAGCTCCCTCGGAGGCGCGCTGGCGGTGGCGGGCGTGCTTGATGGGCGTGCGAGGGCGCGGGGTAGCGCGGGCGTCGTGCGGCGGGCGTGGCGGCGGGCACAGCTGGCGCCAGAAGTGGGCAGCCGGGACAGTCGCCAACCACCGGGCGAACGTGGCACAGCTCGCGGCGCTGCGGTGTGGTGGTGCAGTAGTGCGGTGGTGTGTGTGCGTGCGCGCGTGTGCATGGCGGCCTCGTGACTAGCACGCCGGCCATGGTGCACTGATCATGCAGTATCGTGAGACGACAGTAAATGTAGTGCCGTGACGAGTGATGGCTCCCAGGGCTCGGGTGAGGGGGGCGCCGCGCCCCTGGTGCTGCCCGCGGGACCCCCATCATCAGCACAGTGACACCAGGCAGGTGGACTGCTCGTCGGCGCCTCCTGCACCGTGAGGCGAGACGGAGGCGACATGGAGGGCAGGAGGCAGCGCGAGCGGAGGGAAGGGAGGGAGGGACAGAAGGACAAAAAAGAAGGGAAGGACACTAAGACGGGCCAGGCGCCCAAGACGACGACGGCCAAGCTGAAGGAGCGATGGCTGCTCACCAGGAAGACGTGGCGCTACATGAGCGACGCGGGCAAGAAGCTCTTCCCCGAGGGCGTCAACCCGCAGAAGGCCGAGGACATCCCCAAAGTGGAGGAGCACTTCCAGAAGATCAACAGCCGCAACCGCGACTTCATCCTGGTGCCGAAGCCGCCGGAGACGCCACGTTCCGGCCGCAGACGGAGGAAGCGGCTCACGAGCACCGCCTCCGACACTACGGACACGGCCGACGACTACCTGGACACGGACGATGAGGGCGCACACGACGCCCCTCGCAGCGCGCCCATCCACGGCCTTGCTCACGCGCCCTTCATGGGGCCCGTTCTTGCCATGGGTGGGACTCCTTTCATGGGCGCCATGGGCAGTGCAGGCGCCCTAGGCGCCATGGGCACTGCACTCCCCATGGGCGCTCACGCGGGCGTCACAGGGAGCATGAAGGGCGCAGGACCAAGCGGCCAATCCAGCGCAGGAGTCAGTCCTACGGGCATGGGGATGGTCCCGGGCATGGGGATGGCCCCGGGCATGGGCGTAAGCATGGGCGCTTCCAGCCACTCGCCCATGTACCAGGCTACTCAAGGCGGGGGACTGCCCACTAGTGGCTACCCAGGGCTGCCCATCACCGCCGGCTTGTCCAGAGAACGACTCCTGTCTGTGGGAGAGCTCCGGTATGAGCTGCCCCCGGAGGTGTACCACCACCTTCTGCGGAGCAACCTCCTGCAGTGGAGCCAGCAGGACCTCACCGAGGAGGACGAAGACGAGTACGACTCGTGCGAGCAGCTGGAGATCGACGGAAGCCGCATGAGGAGCGTCGGGGCGCAGACGGACCCGCACCTTGACATGAGCGTCCAGACCGACGATGATGCGACGGCCGAGGACATGGTCAAGGTGGGAGCGGAGTCTCGCAGCGTCACGGAGGCCAACGCCGCGGCCGCCCAGGCAGAAGCGAGGGCCCAGGCAGAGGCCAAGGCGCAAGCGGAAGCACAGGCTCACCAACAGACACAAGGGAGCCCTCAGGTTCCCGAGACGCCGCCCGCTTCAGAATCGAGTGTCAGCGGGACGTCCATGCTGAAGAAGCTATGGCAAAGGCGAGAGAGCGCGGCTGGAAGCGTCATCAAGGGGGAGGCGCTGCAGCAGGAGGGGGGAGCGAAGAAGCAGGGCTCTGAGAAGGACAAGGACGCACCGCCTCCGAAAGGCGTCGTGGCTGCCAAACGCATGTGGGCGGAGAAGGCCGCCGCTTCAGGGGGCACTCCAATAACGCCTCCAGGAACCAAGCCCAAGCAAGAAAAGGCTCAAGAAAAAAGCAAACTCAAGTCTGTGTTCAAGTTAGGACTGAAATGCGATGTCGATCAGCAAGGAGGCTCTTCGAAAAAGTCCGTCGAAAAGACGAAAGTAGATAAATTTAAAACCGTAAATTACGATAAGACGTTGCGGAATATTAAGTCGAAGTGGGTGCCGAATCCAGAGGACGAGGAACTTCTCAGACAATATCGAATGAAAAACAAAGAGGAGAAGGAAAAAGAGAAGGAGAAGGAGAAGGAGAAGAAGGTGAAGAAGAAGGCAAAGGGCATACAGGTGGGCGACCCGCTGCCGCAGTTCATCCTGGCGGGGTTCCGCATCAGCTCGCCCGTCGAGATCATCCACCAACGGCGGCGGTCCAGACGCCGCATTTCGAAGGCGGATTCCAGCGACTTCTCTGGCAGCGAGTGCTCGATGCCGACGTCGCCGCGCTACTCGGTCACGGTCACGGACGACCAAGGCTCCCGCGACCTGCTAGTGTCGGAGGCGGAGGCCTTCCGGCTGTGTCAGATGGGCGTCCATATCACCTTCAAGCGGTCCAGCATCGATGCCTCGGTGGACACGAGTGAGTTCGAGGCCGAGGGCGCTGCGGGGGGCTTTCCGCCGTTCCAGCGCTCCATCTCGGCTCTCCAGGCGTCCGGGCACTTGTCGCAGATGATGTACAATATTCGAGGTCGTCCGTCGCATCCACAGGTCAACCCGTGCGCAGGTGCGGCCCCTGGTCAGGGCGGCCACCGAGGCAGCCAAGGACTACTGCAGTCTTTTCTCCCCGCAGTGATGCAGAGGTCGAGGGCGAGCGGGAGCGGGCACACCTCCAGACTCGTGGCCAAGAAGATCTGGCGAGCTCGATCCAAGAGCCAGTCCCGCGCCTCCGCAGGGACCACCTCAATCTGGACCCCCATGGTAAGTACCTCCTCGTGCTCCTGTTGTGCCCAAGGCATTAGGACTGCATTACTCTGACCTTCATTGCCCGCTCTTACGTAAACAGGAAGCGTTTCCTCCGCTGCTTCGGAAACATGGACGCAATATCCTGCATCATCAACTTGCGTTATCCCTTCTCTTTCCAAAATGTACCTCTTGCCAAGGCCATCTTACTTGCCATGCAAAAATAATCCCTTCAGTCGTTGTACAATGTAATGATTCTACAGCATGTAAGTCCCTAGGAGATTAATGTACCCATCAATCCATTCCATTCCTATCATGCCTCACCATCTGCGCCTCACCAGCTGGCCCTCAGGAGATCCTTATCTGTGGTAATTGCCTACTTCTTCACCTGGCTACCAACTGTGCCACCTGATCAACCTTCTCTACTTGCTCAGAGAAGAAGAAGGAGAAGAAGAAACAGTTTCTGCTCCATCGAAGAAATGATTGACCCTTACAAAATAGCAACAGATGAATTTTTACTGGTGTTCCCATACGGTGACTGCAAAATCGAAGATAGGGAGCGGAGGGCGAGGGCCAGAACAAGTACAGGTGGATTTCTTGTGAGGACCCACCGTAAGGCGCTGCCGTGTCATTGTTGGTAACTTCCCAAGTCTTGGTGAGGGTCCCCTCCCCCCCTTCCCCTTCCTCTTCTCTTTTCTTCGCTGTGGCTAAGGTGTCATGTCAGACGCTCTCACTCTCTGCCTCTCTTTCTCTCTTGCTATTTATCATTCTCTTTCATTCACCTTCTCTTTGTGTCTTTCTTTCTCTCTCTCTATTCTTTCGCTTTCTCTCTTTGTCTTTTTTCGGTCTCTCCATTTCTCTTTTTCTTTCTCTCGATTTTTCTTTATCTTTCTTTCTCTCTCTGTTTTCCTTTCGTTTTCTCTCTCTGTCTTGTTGCCCTCTCTCTATTCCTCTTTATCTCTTGCAACTTCCCTTTGTCTTCCTCTCTCTTCCATTCTCCCCCTTTCTTTATTTCTCTTTCTTTCGTCTTTTCTCACTGTCTTTCTTTCTCTTTATCTTTTTCTCGCTTTCTCTCTCGCTCTCTCTTGTTTCCATTCTCTCTCTCTCTCTCTCTCTTTCTCTCTCTCTCTCTCTCTCTCTCTCTCTCTCTCTCTCTCTCTCTCTCTCTCTCTCTCTCTCTCTCTCTCTCTCTCTCTCTCTCTCTCTCTCTCTCTCTCTCTCTCTCTCTGTCTCTCTCTGTCTCTCTATCTCCTATCTCCTCTCTCTCTCTCTCTCTCTCTGTCTCTGTCTGTCTTTCTCTGTCTCTGTCTGTCTCTCTCTCTCTCTCTCTCTCTCTCTCTCTCTCTCTCTCTCTCTCTCTCTCTCTCTCTCTCTCTCTCTCTCTCTCTCTCTCTCTCTCTCTCTCTCTCTCTCTGTCTCTCTATCTCCCTATCTCCCTCTGTCTCTCTATCTCCCTATCTCCCTCTGTCTCTCTCTGTCTCTGTCTCTCTGTCTCTGTCTCTCTGTCTCTCTGTCTCTGTCTGTCTTTCTCTGTCTCTGTCTCTCTCTTTCTCTCTCTCTCTCTCTCTCTCTCTCTCTCTCTCTCTCTCTCTCTCTCTCTCTCTCTCTCTCTCTCTCTCTCTCTCTCTCTCTCTCTCACACACGTTCTTTCTCGTTCTCTTTCGTTCTCTCTCGTTCTCTCTCTCATTCTATCTCTCCCTCTCTCCTCTCTCTCTCTCACTTTCTCTCTCTCTCTCACTTTCTCTATCTCTCTCTCTTTCTCTTTCTCTCTCTCTCTCACTTTCTCTCTCTCTCTCTCACCTCTCTCAGCAGCCTGAATCAATCCGCTACAGGACATAGGCCTCCCCATATACATATACATATGCACACA